TAATGGCTCAAAATCAATCAACAATGCACTACATAGTACTACCTCCGTTCTTAAATAAGTGCAAAATGTGAAATTTTATACTACTCACATGTTCTACTTTGACTATATTTTATTTATTGATGTATTAATATATATTTTTGAAAAATATATTATTAAATTTGTCTCATTGTAAATTTTCAAAAACTGATTTTTTTAAATTTTTTTACTGATAGAGAATTATATATATTAATGGTCAAAGTTGTGCCTCGACAAGTGTGAAATGTTGACTGTTGCACTTATTTAAGAACGGAGGAAGTACATTTTATCAGCAACGTGGTGAAAATTTAGTAAATAAATCAAAGTTTTCTGTCATCACAAAAAAAGTGAAAAACAAATACAAGCATCCATTAGTGCACCAAAATGAGTAAAATGTGCAATTGTTCGCACTATTCATAGAGCAACTTTTTTTTATTGGAAATGCACTCTATATATCAAAATGATTACTTTCACTTTTCATCAAAAAAAAAATGATTACTTTCACTTGTTTTTTCTTATTCTAATAAAAAAAATTGTATAACAAATACTACGTACTTAGTATATGTGTGTGTCAGTTAGCACTGGCTCAAATTATTCTCTGGTTCCGCCACTGAGTACTTGACCAAGTTATATTCAAATTCCAACAACTTAAAAGGTTGTAATAATATAACATACACCAAGCAAATTGTTGATAAAAAAAGCATGTAGTATCTCTCGACTTCAAATCACATTTAAGCTAGGTCTCCCATGACTAGCTATGATCATCGATCCATTTGTTATGAAAATCACTAACAATAGATAGTAGTTGTATGCATTAAAAAAAAAACAGAAACAATATTAATTAATAAGGTGAGGTGATCTTAGTAATTTTCATTCATTCAGGAGGCGGTGATGATGTGTTCTGGACACACTGATTCTCGCACATCTCATGAGAGTCCCAACAACTTCGTCCGAGAGCGCAGCACCAACAAGGTTCAAACCCGCAATCGTCTTTTGGGATACAAAACTCGATATTTACTTTCTCACTTTTTGCAATCCCACCTGCTTAGAATATCAGGAAAAACAGTACAAGGAATAAATGTGTGAAGTTGTATCATGATGTAATAAGAAGTGAAAATTATTAAATAAAACCTTTAAATATTTCCAATTCATTACTTCAGTTTTTCTATTAAAATACAACCAGTCAAGTACTTTGGCTTGTTATAGCACGTTTTTTTAAAATAAATTCGGAGTAAAAGGGATTAAAAAATAGAGACTGTATACACTTACATTCATAGATTATGAGGCAGAAGAGAAGTAAATACTTTAGGGCCCTTGCAACCATTGTTTACGACTAGTAATTTGCTTGCAAGTATTGAGCTCTGTGAGAATTATAACGAATGGATTTAAGCACATATACATAACATATACACACATTTATACACACATGCACTATAGCTAGACGTACTATAGGTATCAAATTACGGCTAAATGAATTACTTCGAATGAGTTAATGACACGTAATAATGCACTCTATTGGTATCATATTAAAACTACTTATTATTATTATTAAGTTTGGTATGACATTAATTACATTAAACTATCATAATGAAAAATAAATCCGTATCTATACATACTTTCTAATTCCTTATTACTACCCAGGCCATATACCGAGTACCATGTACTAAGTATTTAATATTCATGTGGACTAAAGGACTACGTATCTATTTAGTCTACATCTTTCACTTAATCCACTTTTGATACATGACTATTTTATTTTCATCCATATATGGTTCTTCCAGCATTGTTTCGGTGGGTTAAAATTGCCGAAAAAGGACCACAAATAGTTAAAAAACATTAATCAAGTATCAAAAGTGGACAAAATGAAATATGTGGACTAAAGGTAGAATTGATACAAAACTAATAGGACCAAAAATGGAATTAATGTTCAATTAATCATCATACATTTGGAGATTGTTAATGGACCCGCCAAGTCTTCTTTGACATGTCTGCTCTGTTCCAGGCCAAGATACGATAGCAAGGCCGAGCTTGATGATCACCATCCCGAGATACCACACTAACATTGCCGGATGAGGCCAAGTGGAGGACTCGAAGTGAACCCGTATTCCATATGCCATCAATAGGAATGACAATTTCATATCCCGCTTTTTTTTGAAGAAGAAAACTTAATTATTACCGAGTATTATTAATGAGAGTAACAAAGACAAAGCAATACAATTCAATAGCTCAAGGCTACACTAGAGTGAGATATAGAATTGACTAGTCTCTGAGGACCTGTCAAATTCGCTAACCCCGCATTATAGTAGGCTAATCTAACACCATTGCTGAAATTGCTACTAAAATGAGAGAGAACTAAACAAGAATTCTTTAAATAAGATTTACAAAATAAATTACTAAATTTAATGAAAACCACAAATGGTAGTCTCTTTCTTATTACGCATTATGGGTGCAAACGAGTTGAGCTGAGCTCGAACATGGATATGCTAGAACTTGATAAGAATTCACGAGCTCGACTCAAATCGAACTTCGATGAGCTAAATAATTTGGGCTTGACCTCACCATCAGGCTTGAGACAATTTTTTACCCAACGTGTTTTGTTTTTTTAAGAAAAATATAGAAACCGGAAAATAGAAGTGGTACCGAACGTAGACTTAATCATTTCAGTAAGACAATAGGAGGGCGGCTGCCCCCACTAGATTCCCACTAAGTCCATATATTTTATTATTTTTCCCATTCTTTTTTAGTTGTAACAGTCAACCTTTGCACATTTGCCAATGCACACATTTGATCGTAAGTATATTTTAATCTCTATTAATAAAAAATATTAAAAATCAGATTTAGAAAATTTGTAAGAGTTTTTTACCAGAATATTACTAGAATAAAACTTAATTACATAAATATGACTATTCATTACTACAACGTAGTGTTGTGGTAACTAACGTTCAAAATTTGATCATGAATTACTATGATTTCATTACTACTCTAGTAACTAGTCATATTTTTGTAAATCATCTTTATTTTGGTCATATTTATGTAATTATTTCAATTTGTAATGAGATGAATTGAAAAATATATTTTTTTAAAAATAATTTTCATAAAATAGTAGTATAAAATGTAGTCGAAGTAGATCATGTGAACCAGTGCAAAAAGTCAACGTGTTGCGATTAAAAAGAGACGGAGGATAGTATAAATTATTAAAAGACCAATTCTATGCCCCCACTAAAAAAATAGGCTAAAGGGTCAAAATCCCTAGTAAAATGGGTCTAATTAGAAACAGAGCTAGGGAGTATATTTTTCTGATTTTTTTTATATTGTACATATTATAACATTGGATAATTGATTATTTTGTTTTATTGTAAGAAATTTGTGGTGTTAGTTTTTGAAACATTAGTGTAAGTACTCTATTTGGTTTAGGCTCATATATAACATGTTTGAGGAATGACATAATGAGATTTTTATTCCAGTTGAAGCTATATCATCAAATTGTATGTCTGTAATCTAAAATTGCTATAAGAAAATTGTTTTGACATTAAATTGGAAGAACAAGAGAAAAGTAATATGTGTATTTGAAATGTGCAATAGCAATAACCTTGAAACCTGTATACATGTTTTTGGGCTTTGGAGGGTATGTAAATTTTAAGGTGTTGTTAACACACAAGTGAAAAAGAATAATATTCTCAAATTTGAACCATTAAAAAATGGCATTAGAATATCAATAAAACATAAAATTTAAAAGAACAAAAAATCAGTGTTAAAATCCTAAATCACAATAACAACAAACGGAGAATTATAATCTAATGAGTTAGATTAAGGAGGTTGGATTGAAGAAGATGAAAGGGAAATGAATATCATGGTGTCGGTAAAAATGAACGGTTAAATCTGGATTTGTCAAATTGATGAGCTAGAGAATAGGGAAGGAGTTTTGTGGAAGGTGGAGATGGGAGAGAGAAAGAGGTGAAGGGGGAATGGATAAAAGTGAATGGTAAAAAGAAAAGGTGAAAAAAAATATTTGTACAAGTGTACAAGTTGTGTACAAATCATGTACAAATAGCATTTTTGATGAAAACATATATAGTGACATTGATGATCTATTTCAAGAACAGAAGATGTTGCAAAATGTTTTACCAGATGCAAGTAACAGTGTAACACAGCCATTCAGATGCCTCATTTAATTTTTAAAAAAATTACGGAGTAAGTGTTATCCAAATCCATTACTTTCTTACAGAAATCTATTGGCAATACTTGAAAATTGAAACTAAGTATTGCCAGGACAAAAGGATTAAAGAAGAAGATTCTCAAGAATCGTCTACCGTCAACCTTGTCTCAAGCACAATTTAATGGATTCACAATATTAAACATTGAACATGAAATATGTACCAGAAGTCCAGAAATGATTGCTTTAAGATTATTATTATTAATGACATCGCTTCACAATGTTCCGTGAAAAATGATTCCAAGTAATATGTATATAGTTTCCACCTTTATTTTTGTAATACTTTTATTTAAATATATGCATCTTATCTCTTTGTAAAGTATTTCTGTATTTCTTGTCACTATTATGCCTTTTTATATTATATTGTTGTATTACATTACATAAATATATATAGATCGATTTTAAGAGAATGAGTCGCATATAATTTTGAAAACAAGCTTACACTAGAGCTTGGCCCATAGGTCCTGAAAAATAGAAATTAGCACAATTATTAATGAAGCTCGTAACGTTATGCGCAGGGGAGTAGCTAGAGGGGTCATACTAACGAGGCTCTGGTCAACCCCAAATTCAAGAAATGCTTAGATTTATCGTGTAAAAGAATTATATATAAAATAGAAAAATTCTTTGTACTGGCTTAATCTGACACTCTGATGTATCATCCTGTTGTCTACGCCCCTTGGACTCGATCATGTGTCAATGCGTGCTGCGTGCATGTTATATATCTTGTGTTGTAGAATATAAAGAAGATCAATGATCCATCAACATTCAAACATGACGTACGAACGCTAGCTTGAAGCCTTGAATTGCATGTTTTATTGAGAACACTAAACAAGGAACACACATGAAATATTGAAATACCTCAAATACATACGGAGTACGTACAACAGTTTTTATTTAACGCAGCACTGAGAGAAATGAAACTTGCAAATGCATATATATAATTATGCATGGGATGTACGTGCATGATTAATTAGGCCTGTTTGGCAAGGTACTCATCCAACTCTTTGAAGTTCTTCTCAGCAAAGGTCTGAATGGCGGAGGGGTCGGGAATCTCATGACTGGCCTTCTCGTACAAACAGCTCCACTGCAACAAGCTCCCTCCTTCCTCCTTGGGAACCACAGTCACGTGAGCCTTGAAGCTTTTGTAGTACTCCAGCAGATCTCCCCCGATGATGCTGTAAGCAAATGTCCTGTTTGATGGGTCCACTACTTCGATCCTCTCCTTCGACACCTTCACTATTGGCGAACCTTCCACACGTACAACATATGTTATCAGGAAAGAAAAAATTCGTATTTGTAGACGATCATTTGTACACGTACAACATATGTTATCAGGAAAGAAAAATTTCGTATTTGTAGACATTTCGTCAACAAAATCACAACTTTTTAGAATATTGTAGGGGATGTCTGTGTGGCGTGTAAAATAGGCGAATACAACTATACATACACGTACCTCCCTACGTGTGTACACGACGAACAAATCATTAAATAAATGGTAGATTCTATGGTACCCATAAGGTATCATACATTTGTCCATATGGACCAATGAGAATGTAGCAGTTGAATTATTTAAATCTATATTAAAAATGATAAAGTGATGTGGTCCAATCAAATGAATGATAGATATGGTACCCCATGTTTTAAAAAGATACCGGAGTTGTCACCTAAATAAATACTCCGTAGTTGATATGGGGGACCTACGTTAGAGATATGGTGGATAGAAGTCCATTGCAACTTAAATCCAGTGTAATTTAATGTTTTTCCATCATTTCACATAATTATATTCATTTTTCATATTAAAGTCTAATATTTTGAATGTATTATATTATTCAACCTAGTCTTAATCAGATTCTTGGATCCACCTCCACAATATTTATAAACGTACTTCATTTCAATATACTACGTATATCATTCAAATATTAGTTCATTATAGTTTTTTTGTTAGTTTAGGTTTTTAGATATTTAGGTTCAAACGTTCACCTAGAAGAAAGTAAAAGTCAAGTCAAACTATGAACTTAACTGCTGGACAGTAATATTTTAATACTCCCTCCGGTTCTTTTTAAACTTCAGTGTTTGACTTCACAGTTATTAAGGAAATAAAGTTGACTTTACTGTAGAGTACACTGTTGAGACACTGTTTGGCACTGTTTGGCACTGTTTGGCACTGTTGAGACACTGTTTGGCACTGTTTGGCAATGTTTTGGTGTAGATTTTTTTGCCAAATAAGGAAATAAGGAAGTGTGAAGTTTATTTTGGACCGTCCCAAAAAGGAAAATGAGAAGTTTATTTAGAACCGGAGGGAGTATATATATATATATATATATATATATATATATATATATATATATATATATATATATATGAGTCTCGTTCTTGTCCAGCTGGCCTGATGGGAACCGCCGTCCGGTCGAGGGCATTTCGGGCACTTCCCGATCGAATTTTTTGATGAAATTTTTTGAGTATGTTCTTCATCAACTCTAGTTTTACCATACCAAATTACATATAAAAATGCAGTCAACTTCAAAAAATTATTTGAATGTCTTCCCGATTGAATTTGGAGCTGAAATTGGGTATGGATAAACTAGACTTGATGAAGAACATGCTCAAAAAATTTCATCAAAAAATTCGATTGGGAAGTGTCCGAAATGCCCTCGGCCGGACGGCGGTTCCCGTCAGGCCGGCTGGACATGAAGTTCTCTCTCTCTCTCTCTCTCTCTCTCTCTCTCTCTATATATATATATATATATATATATATATATATATAGGTTCCCTATATATATATATATATATATATATATACCTTCTCCGTAGTTGATCAATCGGACGGAGCCAACAACAATGCCATCGCCTTCGAGAACTTCAACGCTTTCGTAGTCATTGGGAAAGGCTTTGGGATAGATGAAGATGAAGTCCCTTAGGGCTTCCCACATCTTATCAGCATGGGCCTTCACTTCCACTTCTACGCTAAGCTTTCCACTTATATCAGCCATCTTTAGCTAATATAATTAGTTCCAACTATTATAGATATGAACTCTGGAGGCTAATAAATAAGGAACCTCAGCTCTGGTCATAGAATGTATGTATCTGCTTTTAGCTAAGGTCTAAGAGTGCACATATATATAGTACGTATAGATGATTAATGTGAGATATGCAGATCTCATTCGATTATCAAAATCGAAATGTTACGTTTATGCAAGTTCACCTACCATTGCAGGCTTCCTACCCTACAACTTTAAGTTTTCCTCGTTGCTTCAGTAACGTACCCATAAGTTTCTTTATAGACCGACAAATATCACTTATGTCCATGAAAATAGTGACAACAATCATAGTGCAAAATCAATTTTCTTAATAATGTACTCTCTCCGGTTCTAAATAAACTTCTCACTTTCCTTTTTGGGACGGTCCAAAATAAACTTCACACTTCCTTATTTCCTTATTTGGCAAAGAAATCTACACCAAAACAGTGCCAAGCAGTGCCAAACAGTGTCTCAACAGTGCCAAACAGTGTCTCAACAGTGCCAAACAGTGCCAAACAGTGTCTCAACAGTGTACTCTACAGTAAAGTCAACTTTATTTCCTTAATAACTGTGAAGTCAAACACTGAAGTTTAAAAAGAACCGGAGGGTAGTTTTTTCTTCTTCCAAAAGGTTGAATCCCTAACCTCAAAACACTCACGTCTTGATCGGACAAGGCATTTAGGAGCAGTGGCATATTTGGATTTCAACTTTTGGAGTTCAATGCCTTTTTACAACTACAAATTTTAAGAGTAATAAATAATTATTTTAAATATACACATATATACTTACAAGTTTTTTAAAAAACTGAGTGTTCATGTGAACACCTTGGAATGACTATGGCTCCGCCAGTGTTTAGGAGATTGTAAGTCACGATAGGCCGTTGCGGGTTTCGAACCTTCATCAGTATATATAATGTTCCAACTTTGTCACCACTCAAACTGAGTTACCCGTGTATAATTTTTTCCTTTATTCACTCAAATGTATCTTAATCAATTTAAGTAAGGCTATACTCTCTCCGTCCCAAATTGATTTGCAAAGTCAACAATTTTGGTCAACCAATAATAAAAGTCATACTCCGTATTGATTATTAGTTTAATTTTTAATTATTAAAATTTATATATTCAAAAACTACACTAAAATCTATTCAAAGTTGTAAACTCCAATTTAGAATATAATTAAAAATTGACATCCAAATTAGAATTTTTTTAATTTTAAATAAAATATTTGAATAAGTCTTTCGGACAAAGTCTTGTGCCTCGAATCACGGAATCTCTATGTTGATACCCTCATCAAATAATTGTATCCCTCTTCACTCGCCAGCTACTCAGCGGCTCAGCCATCGCGACTCGCAAGCTTATGGAACAAGATGGACTGGACTTGACATTAGTACATTACTCATGAGTTATTAGGGTTTGTTTGTTTGAATGTTACGTAGTAGAAGTCTAGAAGGTTATAGTGAGTTTAAGAAATTGGGCCTTTATTTTTGTATTTTAGTATTTGTAACCAACATAAGTATTAATTTTGGGTTTCAAACTTGTAATGGACTTCTACTATATTTTAGAATTTATAGTAATTGTTTGGTAGGGAGTCGATAGAGTATTATACCGGTATACCGCGGTATTTGAAAACGTTTATCGTTACCGTACCGAAATATATTTGTACGGTATCATATCATACCTTACCGAAAATGATGACATACCAATATTTCGGTATAATAAGTGTGGTATACCGATTTTTGATACCATTGACAGATACACCGCTAATAATTGTATTGGCACCACACAAAAAACGTGACAAATAATCATAACATTAACCGTGACTTGTCAATTGTCAATGACTCCTCAAACGTATCCAGTATTGTTTATTTATTGAATAAAGAAAGGTATCCGATTTTGAAGATCTTAACCGAACTTGTACCTTCAACGTAACTACACTCACGAAGCTTCAGGTTCCAGCGATTAGCTAATAATGACGCCGCTAGAGTAGTTCAAGAATGAGTAGTCACCAATTCATTATGCATATATCCTCCCATAAACATGATGTGATGTAATTACACGTTTTTTTGTACAATAATTTTTTGTGTACATAAATTTTGTAAATACTTGACATATTTTCTTGTTTATATAGACAATTATTGTTTTTATCTTTGTTTGTGTAAATAGACAATCAAGGGCGGAGTCAGGATTTCATTAGAGAGGACCAGAAAGAAAATCATTAGTGCACAACATGTTTGAGTAATGCTTAAGAGAGTTTTGCTAGGTGTACACATTTTGTGTACACAAAATGTGTACACATGTCTGCCTTTCACACAAAATTTGTCTGTCACAGACAACTCAAAAACAGTTGTCTGTGACAGACAAATTTTCTGCAAAAGACAGACATGTGTACACATTTTGTGTACAAAAAATGTGTACACCAAACATTTTTCTGCTTAGGAAAGTAAATTAAAGAAATGCTAGTCGTTTACCAACATTTTTAATGAATAAATGGTTTTCAAATTCTAATTTTAGAATGTAGTTGTGTTGTCAATTTAAATGCCAAAGGTATGAGAGCATAACTCCAGCACCATGGTTTTCATTATGATTAGGACCAAAATAATAGTGTAGATTTATTATTATTTCTTATTGTGGAACTCCTTGTGTAATATTAACTCTTTCTAGTATAAATATATCTGTCAGGGCTACCATTAAGGTTAAGCCTGGTATTATTTCTCACATGGTATCAAGAGCCAATTTCTAAAATCCCTAATTTTTTTCGGCTACGATGACTTCTACGCCAACCTCTTCCGCCGCCGCTGAGTCCTCTGAGCCGGCCACAATTTCAGCCACTGCCCAGATGACGTCGCCGGCCTTCTCTTCGTCTCCAGCAACTCAGCCTCTATCTTCTGCTGCTTCAATCTCGCAGCAGGCCTCCAGTCTGTCTTCTCAAACGATGGCTGCTTCAACAACTCTTCCCTTCATGTCAATGGACCCTGTTATCTCTCAAACCTGGATGCTGCCTCCTCTTACGACGAAATTTAGCGCCTGGAATCCTTCCCTCTTTACTTGGACGCCGACACAGCCCTCAGTCCGTCCACCAGTGCAGCCCGTCCTCTCTACTGGCAGAAGTTTTCTTCCTCCCATGGAATCTGCCTCCAATTTTGCTGGTCCTACATTTGCAGGAGCACCAGGTATTGCACCACTCTCCTCTCCTAGGCCAATTGCTCCACGAAGTACTGCTGCCAACACCAGTTCTATTCTTAATGAATTAGTTAAGAGTATTGGATTTTCTGCCCTTAATATTACCAACGTTGTGACCACCAAATTAGCTGCGGTAGAGGATTACCAATATTGGCGTACTCAATTTGAGTCTTTTCTGCTCTCCAATGGTTTTTTGGGAATTTTAGATGGTTCGATTCCTGCTCCCCCTCCCTATATTTTTGATGCGTTTCATCTTGGGACAATTAATCCGGACTATTGTAATTGGTTAAAACTTGATCAAACGGTGCGTTCGTGGCTATTTGCCACTTTGTCTCGAGATGACTTAAAGAATGCTTCTGCTATTTGGAGTCGGTTAGAGTCTCATTTTATGTCTGCTAGTCTTGCCCGGTCCATGGAAGTAAAACGCCAATTGACTACCTCTCGGAAGGGACCTAATCAGTCTATGGAGCATTATCTCAGAGACATTAAGATTATTGCTGATAACTTAGCTTCGATTAATGATCCTGTTGCTCCTCGTGAACTATTTAAAACTATTTTGATGGGTCTGGGACGAGACTATGAGTCTCTTATTACCTCAGTTGGTCTATTTCCGGAGAGCTTCACCTTTGAAAGACTACGCAACTGTTTGATTGAAAAGGAGCAAACTATACAGTATATGCGTACTCTAGAAGAGCCTCCGCATGCCCAAGCATTTGCGGTCCAAGCTCAGGCTGCCGGGCAGCCACCTCCCCACGGCGGGCAGCAGCAACGTGGGAGAGGTTATCGCGGTAGGGGCGGTCGTGGACAGCGGGGCAGAGGGGGCCGTGGACAGCGTGGCCGTTTTTATGCCCCACATCAGCATGGTTATGACTTTCCTCCTCCGATGGGCTACGGTTACCCCCCTCCTGGCTATGTTCTAGGGGGTGCACCTCATGCGGGCATTCTTGGGGCTCCAGGCTCAGCAGGTATATCTGTTCAGTCACATGTTTATACTTATGCCTTATCTGCTTCTTGTACTAACCGTGGATATGCAGGCTTTTCATCTGTTGAAGGGAACTCTGTTCCTCCTCCTGTAGTTTGTCAAATTTGTTATGCCCCAGGTCATCCCGCCTCTACTTGTCCGTCCCGTTTTGTTCAGCCGGCTGCACCTGCTCTCGCTGCTCAGGCTCCTGATGCTACTGACATTGTGTGGTATCCTGACTCAGGTGCCTCTGCTCATATGACTCCTCATCCAGGTATTTTGTCTAATAAAACCTTTTCTCCTAATTCTCATTCAATTATTGTAGCTAATGGTACTTCTCTTCCTGTTATGCATACTGGTGAGGTTGTTTTGAGTTCCTCTGCTCGTCCTCTTTGCCTAAAATCTGCTTTTCATGTGCCTAATATTAAATATAATCTTCTGTCCATTCAAAAATTATGTGCTGATAACAATTGTGTTGTAGTTTATGATAAAAATTGTTTTTCTGTAAAGGACAAAACTACGGGGGCGGTTCTACTTCGAGCGGTCAGTGATAATGGTGTCTATCCTGTTCGTCAGCCTGCACTTCCACTTGTTGCCCTTTCTGCTGCTTCTGTTTCCCTTTGGCATAATAGATTAGGACATTGTGGTACTCGTGTTTTAGATCAACTTAGAATTAATAATTTAATTTCTGGCACTTCTGCTTCTATTTCTGATTGTATTCCTTGTCGTTTGGGAAAATCACAACGGTTACCTTTTAATAAAGTTTTTCACAACAGTCCGTGTGCTTTATATTTAATCCATTCTGATGTTTGGCAATCTCCTGTGCTATCTCATCTTGGTTTTAAATATTATGTTTTTTGTTTTGTGGATGATTTTTCTCGTTTTACATGGCTATATCCTATGCGGCGTAAGTCTGAGGTTACTACTCATTTTCATCATTTTAAATTAATGATTGAAAATTTACTTGACCGCAAAATTAAGATTTTTCAGAGTTATGGAGGGGGTGAATTTGATAATTTTCATATGCGGAAATTTTTTACTGATTCTGGAATTATTTTTCAAAAATCTTGTCCTGAAACTCCGCAGCAAAATGGCATGGCTGAGCGCAAGCACCGTCATTTAATTGAACTAGCGCGAACCATGCTCATCACTGCCAATTTGCCCGCTCAGTTTTGGGTTGATGCTGTTCTCACTGCCACTTTTATTATTAATCGGTTACCCTCTCCTACTCTACATGGTGTGTCTCCGTACGAAAAATTGTTTCTCTCTGCACCGGATTTATCTGGAATGCGTGTTTTTGGTTGTGCATGTTTTCCAAACTTTAATGCCACTTCTGCTAATAAACTTTCTCCACGGTCTGTTCAGTGTGTTTTTCTTGGTTATGCGTCTGAATATAAAGGATATCGTTGTCTTGATCCTATTTCTGGTCGGGTTTATATTAGCAGAAATGTCCGATTTTTAGAAAATATTTTTCCATATTCTAAGTTGATTCGTGCTACACTGTCTCCGTCGAGTATGCCTTCTTACACCGCTCCAGTGGCGGAGCCAGAAGTCTATAGTTAAAGGGGTCGGTTCTTGAAAATGTTACTTTGCAGGGGCCAAAGTTTAAAATATCAACATATTTTCTATAGATTAAACATATTTATACATAATATATACTTAAGAATTTTTTTCCTTGCAGGGGCCGAGGCCCCCTCCAGCCCCTCCCTGTCTCCACCCCTGCACCGCTCCTTTGGTTCCCCTACGTACCAGTGACCAGCCCCCATCCTCAGACCTGCAACTGCAATCCCATCCAGTTGACTCACTCCCAGATTTCCATGCACCCACTCCAACCTATAATCATGTTCCCAGCCCCTCTTCTACTCCCATTACCTTAGCAGACAGCCAATTACCTTCCACTACTCTGGCTGAGACTTTACTGGCCGACACACCACCATTCCCTACTTCACTGGCCGACAAATTAACAGTGCCTACCCCCCTGGCCGAAACCACAACAACCTCTACCTCTTTGACCGAAACCCCAACAACCTCTACCTCCTTGGCCGACACCATCTCGACCAACACAGCAGCTCCCAATAGCTCCGCCCCGGTTGACAATATTCATCCAATGCAAACCCATTCCAAATCCGGTATTTTTAAACCGAAACCTATTTTTAATTTAAACACAGTTGTTAGCACACCTGACCCTACTTGTTTGTCAATAGCTAATAAACATCTTAAGTGGCGAGCTGCTATGGCAGAGGAATTTAATGCTCTTATCTCTAATCATACATGGGATTTAGTACCATTTGATGCTAAAAAGAATGTGGTTGGGTCAAAATGGATTTATGAGACTAAGTATTTGGCTGATGGGTCTGTGGAACGCTACAAAACACGGTTAGTTGCTCAGGGGTTTAATCAGCAGGCGGGTATTGATTTCACTGAAACATTTAGTCCTGTTGTTAAGCCCACTACTGTTCGTCTTGTTCTCACTTTAGCCGTGTCTTTTGGTTGGCCGATTCGCCAACTTGACGTTAAAAATGCTTTTCTTCATGGAAATTTAACTGAGGAAGTTTATATGCGTCAGCCTCCGGGTTTTGTTCATCCTCAGTTTCCTCACCATCTGTGTCGGCTTCGTAAAGCCATTTATGGACTTAAACAAGCACCTCGTGCTTGGTTTCATAGGTTTAGTAGTTTTCTTCTTTCTCATGGTTTTGCTTGTAGCCGGTCTGACAACTCTTTGTTTATTTTTCGGCGTAATTATGATATTATTTACCTGTTATTATATGTTGATGATATCATTGTTACAGGCAACTCTCTTAAGTTAGTCACTCATTTTTTATCTCTCTTAAATAAATGTTTTGCTATGAAGGACTTGGGAGACTTACATTTCTTCCTTGGCATTCATGCTCATCGTACTCCCTCTGGTCTGTTTCTATCTCAGCAAAAATACGTATCAGATCTTCTTCATCGGTTTCATTTACATACCTTAAAATCCGTGCGCTCACCACTTCCTAGTCGTACTAAACTTTCCCTTACTGATGGAGAGCTTCTCGCTGACGCCACGGAATACAGGAGTATGGGAGGTGCATTACAGTATTTGACTTTGACTCGACCAGATATTACTTTTGTTGTACACCTGGTTTCTCAATTTATGCATGCTCCACGCACTTCACATTTGTTGGCTGTTAAGCGTATTTTCAGGTATCTTCAGGGAACATCCACTCATGGTCTACTCTTACAGTCCTCACGCGGCTCTACAGAGGTCATTGCTTATTCTGATGCTGATTGGGCTGGATGTCCTGATACAGGCAGGTCTACTTCAGGCTATGCAATTTTTCTGGGGCCCAATCTTATATCTTGGCGGTCCAAAAAGCAGCCCACGGTCTCCCGCTCTTCCACGGAAGCTGAATATAGAGCCATTGCCTACACGGTTCAGGATACTCTTCACATACGATCTATTATGTTCGAGTTGGGGTTTGCTGTTCGTTTTCCAACTACTCTGTTCTGTGACAATGTATCTGCTTCATATCTGTCTGTTAATCCCATCCAACATGCCAGGAGTAAGCATATTAATATTGACTATCATTTTGTTCGTGAACGAGTAGCTCATGGTGATCTTCGTGTTAAGTATGTTCCGACACAGGCTCAGCTGGCAGATATTTTTACCAAGTGTTTGTCGCCACAACGTTTTATTCTTCTTCGTGACAATCTGCGCATTGTTTCCCCTGCACAGCTTGAGGGGGTGTAATAGTGTAGATTTATTATTATTTCTTATTGTGGAACTCCTTGTGTAATATTAACTCTTTCTAGTATAAATATATCTGCCAGGGCTACCATTAAGGTTAAGCCTGGTATTATTTCTCACACAAAAGACATCAGGATTGGTGGTCCACCAATCTTATTCCAAGAACTAGCGTTTAGTGGACAATTTTCGCTCAATATTATAAAAATGTTCTTTTTCTAAATAATTACTACATCTGTCCCACTGACGTTGAAAAGTGAGAAGGTGATCGATGCTAAATTGACACTTTTAAGAAAAATGAATTTATGCGATTGATACTAATTTGACAAAGTAAAAATGATTTAGAACTGTACAATTTTACCAAGTTTGGTAACTGACAACTTTAGTGAGGCAGACTAAAAAGAAAAGACATTCTTAATGGGACAGGGGGAGTTATATACTACGTATGATATTGTTATGAGTTTTTCTTAAATAGTGTATACATCACAATGACTAAGAACTTGTTTGGTAACACTGAAATTGGATGGGTTGGGTCTGCTACTTCTACTAGAATTTATGAAGTCCTGGTTGAAGTGACTACATTGGTTGCTTCTGCTGATTTATGAAAAAATTATATTTAAAATATTTTTATTACTGAAATAAAGAAAAAATTAAGCGAAAATAACTAAAATTGCCCTCTACAGTAACTTCAACCAATACAGCCTGAAAAGTAAGTCAAAAAACTGGGTTATCTAACGGGCTCTAAATCTCAAACTTAAAAGTCTTTTGGTTTATTAAAAAAATTTAATATTACCAAGAGTTTATATTAAAAAATCCCAATGACTATTTCTCAAACTTAAAATTCTTCTACACAATAAAAAAACGGAAATTGTCCTAAATAGGACTAAAAAGTTCCTAAAAAGCACAAATAGGACTACTATTTTTAAAATTCCCCAAATAGGACTAAGCATTGATTTTCTACCCTAAATACCCCTAAGAGTATTAATTCATAATGAAATGCTTTAATTCATAATAAAATCACAAAAAACGTAAAAAAATATTTAAAAAACGTAAAAAAATTAAAAAAAAAATTATAAAACATTTATAAAATAAAAAATTTAATTTTTTATTTTTTTAATTTTTTTAAAAAAATAATAAAAAATAGTAAAAACCCATAAAAAATGAAAAAAATTATGGATACCTTTCTCACCGCCTCCCGCCGCCTCCCAGCACCACCACCTCCGATTGGTGAAATTTCTTCCACTTTTGGTAAAAAAAATGCCATATTTTTCTGAAAATGCCAAAAAGATGGCATAATTACTCTTCAATATGCCAACATTTTCATTGATTATGCCATCATTATGGCATTATTTAAAATGTCGGCATATTTTTGTCCGGTGATGGGAGATGGTGGTGTTGGGGGTGGCAGGAGTGGTAATGTGTTTTTTTTAATTTTATGATTTTTTTTATTTTTTTTTTATTTTTTTTTAAAAAAATATTTTTTTTATTTTTTTAAAAAAATATTTTTATTACTTTTCTATTATTTTTTTTACGATTTTTAGTATTTTTTTTCGATTTTTATTAATTTTTTTATGATTTTATTATTAATTAAAACATTTCACAAGTTACAAGGGTATATTTGTCCAAACACACATAAATAGTCCTATTAAGGGAATTTAAAAAATGTAGTCCTATTTGTGCAATTTTTCCACTTTTTAGTCCTATTTAGGGAATTGACTCATAAAAAAATCCTAATCAATTAAGTGCACAAGTTCGGGAAGAAGTCATGTACATATTAAGAAGGATCACGTACATATTAGCAATGACTAAATCTCAAACTTAAAATACTCCGATTAACTTAACAGAAGTTAAACTTCATTAGTTAGTACATTAAGGGTAAAGAAGTCATATGAGAAGGTAGGTTCCATTTTCTAGGAAGAATGTACAACTTGTGATGCACAAAGTGTATTGACATAAATTAAGGGTATCAACCCTCATTCACAAATATAATGTTGTTAGATAGATAGGGGTTAGGTTCAAATAAAAAGACATCATTAGATAAGAAATGAGAAAAAATCCAGGGCATCAATTAAAACGTACAATCATGTGGC